TGACGGTGTGACTAGGGAGTTGAAGAAAGTGAGGTTCATTTCTTAATTGACGAAGAATATCATTTTACTTGGAACTTCAGGGGCATCCAGTTATAAGGTGATCATGGAGAATACAACTTTGAAGATCACCAAGAGGTCCATGGTGATGATGAGAGGTGTTAGGAAAATAATATTTACTACTTGAAAGGCAAGACAGTAACAGAGGTTCTGATAGCTTCTATTACCATAGAGAAGGATACTACCCATCTATGGAACATGAGATTAGGACACACTGGTGATAAGTCTCTGCAGACATTGACAAAGCATGGGCTATTGAAGGATGCAAAGACCTGCAATATGGAGTTGTGTGAACATTGCATACTTGGGAAGAAGACAAAAGTAAAATTCGACATCGTGATTCATAACACCCAAGGTATATTAGATTACGTTCACACAGATATTTTGGGTTCTTCCAAAAACACATCTCTTGGTGGGGCTAATTATTTTATCACTTTCGTTGATGATAATTCCAGGAGGAATTGGGTATATACCATGAAGTATAAACATGAAGTCCTAGATATCTTTGTGGAATAAAAAAAGAAAATGGAGCTACAAATAGGTAGAAAGGTGAAAGTACTCCATTCTGATAATGGTGATGAGTACATGAGTGATTCATTTTTGTAGTTTTGCTAGGATCACGACATTAGGCGTCATTTCACAGTTAGGAAGACACCGCAACAAAACGGGGTAGCCGAGAGATTGAACCGTATCTTGCTAGAGAAGGTGCGTTGTATGCTCTCACAGAGTAGATTAGATAGATCCTTTTGGGCGAGGCGTTGATTTATGCAAGCCATCTCGTGAATAGGTTATCGTACACTGTGATACAGTACCTAGTGATTATGATTTGATTCGGATATTTGGGTATCCAGCTTACTATCATGTGAATGATGGTAAATTTAATCCGAGGGTAAGAAAATCAATCTTTGTGGGTTTTAGAGATGGAATTAAAGGCTTCAAGTTATTGGATCCAGAAGACAAGAAGATACTTATTAGAAGAGATGTCACTTTTAATAAGGCTCACATGATGAGGTCTGAGGTCCCTCAGCATGTGGAGGAAGGCCAGACTAGTGGAGTATCGCAGGAGGTGGAGGATGATGTGACTCCACAGACTTTAGATATCATTATATCTATTGAGGCTTCTACAGAGATGACACTGGGAGGATATATTACAGATGGGCAAGTGGAGGATACAGTGGATATTGGGACTCAGGAACAGGGTCATGTTCAAAAGTCCATTGCAGCTAATAGACCAAGAAGAATCATTCGTCGACTAGCTAGATATAATGATTTGATGATTGCATATGCTTTGTCAGTGAAGGTCATTGATGATTTGGTTTCTTCTACATATAAGAAAGCAGAGTCAAGCTCTGATTCAATCAGGTGGAGGAAAACTATAGAGGAGGAGATGCATTCTCTTCAAAATAATGATACTTGAAAACTTGCAAAATTACCAAAGGGTAAGAAAACAATTGGATGAAAGTGGGTATATGCAAAGAAAGAAGAATCTTCTGATGGGGATATTCGATACAAAGCCAGATTGATTGCCAAAGGGTATGCCCAACTTGAGGGCATTGATTACAACAAGATATTCTCACCTGTTGTGAAGCATTCATCGATAAGAATACTATTGACATTCGTGGCACAGTTGGATTTGGATTTAGTCCAGATGGATATGAAAACAGCCTTTCTACATGGAGATTTAGAAGATGATATCTATATATCACAACCGATGGGTTTTAGAACTACAGGAAATAAAGATTTGGTATGTAAACTAAAGAAATCTCTTTATGGATTAAAGCAATCACCGCGATAATGGTACAAGAGATTAGACAGTTTCATGATTAGTCAAGGGTATACGAGAAGCTCATATGACCCGTGTGTGTACATGCACAAGCTATATAATGATGAGTATATTTATTTATTGTTATATGTTGATGATATTCTCATTATTTCCAGGAATATTTCAGCTATTAGGAAGTTGAAATAAGAGTTGTCATCTGAATTTGAGATGAAAGACCTTAGAGAAGCAAATAAGATATTGTGTATGGAAATTGAAAGAGACAGGGTGAAGGGGAGGTTGAAGTTGACTCAGATGAGCTACTTGCAAAAGATGCTGAAGAAATTCAGTTTTGATGGCAATGTCAAGACGGTGGGTACTCCATTAGCTCCCCATTTTAAGCTATCAGTTAAGATGTTACATGTTTTAGTTAAGGACCGTGAATACATGTCTAAAGTTTCATATGTCAGTGTTGTGGGTAGCTTGATGTATGTTATGGTGTGTACAAGGCCAGATTTATCACAGGCTATGAGCATAGTGCCTAGGTATATGCACGACCCCGGGAAGGGTCATTAGGAGGCCGTGAAGTGGATCTTACGGTATATCAAAGGTACCGTAGATATTGGTTTGGTATTTTAGAAGAATGAGAGAAATGGACAGGATTGTGTTGGATATATGGATTCTGATTATGCTGAGGATCTTGACAAGTGCTGGTCTACTACTGGATATATGTTTACACTAGCAGGAGCACATGTGTGTTAGAGATGTATATTTTAGTTTAAAGTAGCTCTTTCCACTACGGAGACAAAGTATATAGCGTTGACTGAAGCTGTGAAGGAAGCTTTGTGGTTGCAGGGGTTATTGTATAACTTGGGGATTACACATGATACTATCAGGGTAAAATGTGATAGCATGTCAGCTATCTATTTGGCAAAGAACTAGGTGTATCATGCCTGAACAAAACACATTAATGTCAGGTTCTATTTTTTGTGAGATGTCTTGGATGATGGATACATTATATTAGAGAAGATCTACAAAAAGGATAATCCGGCGGATATATTGACCAAAGTTGTCACTGGGGTGAAATTTGGTCATTGTTTGGAGTTGTTAAACATTTTTTATTATTGAGAGCTTTTGGAGGCCATTTGGGTGAACTACATGAGGCTTGATTCTTTGGGCAAGAGAATACGTAGGTAATCAGTTTGATGCAGCCAGTTTGATGAGTTGATATCGACACGGTAAAGATCTTTGTTAAAGTTTTTATTTGGGTTCCTGACTTATTGTGGATTGAGTCCGTTATTGTGGATTGACTCCACTTCGTACTGGACGCAACAAGTAGGATTGTTGGTATTGAGGTCGGCTCAGTTTTTGGGAAAAACTTCACCAAGGTGGAGATTTGTAGAAACGGCGAAGAAAATCAGAAAATTTAGAGTGCACAGGACTAGTCACATGTCAGTCGACCGAAGTGCATAGGCCGGTCGACTGACAGACTATGAAATTACAGGGTGAGAAACCATATCGCTGGTCGGTCGATCGAACATGCATGTTCGGTCGACCGAAAAGGTGCACGATTACAGGGTTTGGATTCCTACGTCTGGCCGATCGACCAGTCATGTATGTGCGATCGACCGAAAGTATGCTGAGTTACAGGGTGAGAGTTTGGGCTTCTGGTCGGTCGACCGGATGCTCATGTCCGGTCGACAGCGTAGCGGTTTTGGGCCATGTTCGTTTCCTGACCTGTTTTAAATTCCTATTTGATAAAAATAGGAACATGACGTTTCTAGGGTTAAGGGGAGCTGAGATTTGAGCATTGTTTTAAGCACTTAGAAAGGGAGAATTTGTGAGGGATTTGAGAGTTTTGTTTGAGGGTTATTGAGATTTGAGCATTGTTTTAAGCACTTAGAAAGGGAGAATTTGTGAGGGATTTGAGAGTTTTGTTTGAGGGTTATTGAGATTTGAGCATTGTTTTAAGCACTTAGAAAGGGAGAATTTGTGAGGGATTTGAGAGTTTTGTTTGAGGGTTATTTTTGCGAGATTATTGAGTGATTGTAAATCCTATTTGTACTCTCTCTCTCTCTCTCTCTCTCTCTCTATTAGTGAAATCTTCCCCCTCCTTGGCCCGTGGTCGTAGACACATTGCCGAACCACGTAAAATTTGGTGTATTGCTGTGTGGTGCTTGTGTTTGGTTGTTGATTTGTTCTCCTATCTTGTTCGTGTCCTTCGATTCCGCTGCGCACAACACTAAACTTATTGCGGGCCTGAGTTCTCCCGTTTGGGGCGATACTGTGTATTCCAGAGCGCTCATTTACGTTATGGCTTGCTGTCCAAGATAAGCTTCTTACCAAAGACAGACTAAAACAATTTGGTATCCCTTGTCCTCTTGGCCATCAACAAGAGGAATGCCATCGGCACTCTTTCTTTGATTGCACGTATTCTGGTTCAGTGTGGAATGCCATAATGGATTGGACTGGGTTTGAATGGAAAACTTGTGATTGGAGTTTGTTGCTAAACTGGCACGATGGAAACTTGAAGGGAGAAGGGTTTAAACAACAGCTCAAAAGACTGGTTTTGTCTGCTACTGTCGACAATGTTTGGCAAGAGAGAAACTTAGGGGATCTTCATGCAAAAAGCTCTAGAGGAAGCTGCTCTTGTCAGAGCCATCAAAACTGCAGTTCTTACAATTTTGTTAAACAGTCCCATAGATACGACAGGTATTTGGACTGGGTCGTATTCTTTGTTTTAAGATTTGGCTTTGTATTGACTAGTTAACTCAGACCGCCACTAGTACAAAATTGATCTGTCCAAACGGTTGTAACCGTTTGGACAAATGCAGTCCCAAACGGTTACAACCGTTTGGCCGAGTAAAAAACCCGTTTGGGCTGAAGCCGTTGGGGAAGAGTTTTCCCCAACGGTCTCCCAAACGGTTGAAACCGTTTGGGCTAAATCCCAAACGGTTGTAACCGTTTGGGATTTTGCCCAAACGGTTACAACCGTTTGGGTTGTCAAAAATACCCAAATGGGTGAAACCGTTTGGATAGAGTTTGGTCCAAACGGTTTCACCCGTTTGGACTGTTTATTTTTATTATTTTTTAATTTTAGCTATTTTAAATATCTACCTGCTTACATTTAATATGCACATCTCACACAATAATTTCTCAATATATCACATTGAAATCGAAAATATATACATACACAAAAATATCTCAAACAGTGCTAAATATCAAATATTATATATACATACACAATGAAAAACATCCAATATTATATATATGTTTCTAATATCCAAAATGACTCGTACATCCAAAATATAATATAGGAGTGGCTTGATCCATCCAGTCAAGGAACATTTTCAACACTTGAACTTTCACCCTCCACCTTCAAATCAACTTGGACCTCAGGAGATGCACTTGCATCACCTTCAGCCTGCACATTCGACGCAATCTCGGGTTAGGAAGAAGCAGAAGCCTCTACAGTTGGAGAACTTTGAGACTCAGAAATAACTGCAGCCTCTACATACTTGCAAGCTTGAACTTGCAGATAAAGTAACTGAGTGGAGGTCTAGAGTACTCTGTACTCTGAAGCTTGAGGCGCTTTTTTGTCGACTTGGAGAAGAATTGCTGATGCTGCAGCGATTGATATTAAAGCTAAACCAGCAGCGATGACTGCAGTGTTCTCTGCTCCTGATGATGATGTGCCTGTTGATGCAGAACTTATTATCAATCAGCTACCTCTTCGTCCTCTATTAATGTCTTCAAAATAACATCAATCTTACAAGTGAAAATTTCACAAGCAATGAAAGGGAACCTGGTTCACAAAATAACTTTAGTGAAAAAGAAAAAACAGAAACAAAACTGCACTGAAATCCAAGAATACAACAGCCACAATTTAAAATAGTAATAAAGCATACTTGAAGGCTCGCTTGCTTTCAGCATCTGCAGGAGCATCTTCCATAATATATTGCACCAATTGTTCTACTTGAGCTCTGTCTCTAAGGCTGGATACATAAAGTATCAAGTTAGTCCATTTTCTTAATATAATATTACTTTTTATGAATAAAGTTACATAAAAATTTGTTTGCCAATTTGCAAGCTGATTTCCTTTCGCCCTCAAAACCAGACATCATTCAGCATCGGTTGCACAGGCCAGTACCTTGGATGGAGTTACGTATTCTATTTAGTAGAACATACTAATAATTATATACATATGCTTTCTGCCTGTATTTTCTAGTGAACTGAACTACGAAGAAAAGCATACGCGTAAGAAACAAAATATTTTGAAACTAGATTAAGTTCTCAGGTTGAAGAAGCAGAAAGAAAGGATCAGTAATGACTGAAACCAAAAAGCCAATCAGCATAGGAATTAGTGAAATACCACTGTCAGCCAACCAACAGAATGGATCAATCAAGCCATTTATTTTCTGTTTATCTGTTTATATTTAAAATCAAATCTAGTTCTACTACACCCAACCCAGAATGAACAAGTGATAATTTCAACTCTTCTCTGCTCAATAAGTGAATTGCCAATTACAGAAAATATTTTAAGAGAAATAGAAAAAATATATTACAAATTTATAAGGCGGGTGTTTAAAGCTTTGCATACTTGAATTATATCTTCTTCATCCAGAAGTTTTTCCAGCGTGAAGTTTTCCTTGTCCAATATGGACTTAATCTGGAAAAAAATGCAGTATCAGTCATGAATAACATAATATGTGAATGATGATTAAAGATATATTTAAGAAAAAAGAATTACCAAGACATGATAAAAGTCAGATCCCAAAACAGTGACATGCTTGTTAACAGAATATTCAAGTTTTGATGGTTTAAGAGACCAGTCTAGTTCAACTTAAAATGAAATACTAAGACTTAAAAAACTAATATGAGAACAAGCCTAATGTAATGCACTATGCATGAAACAAAAAAAAGGCCTACTAGCAGTCGAATCTAGTTTTAGCTAAAGATGGTGACATATAATCGACATTTCTCGCTACAAATCATTGGTCTTCCTTCAATACTAAAGTTCAGAAAAGGATTCATCAAATAAGCCACATCCGGAACTAACCCAAAATAAAAGGTAATGTCAAACTAATGACTCAGTGTTTACCAACCTCTTTAGGGTAATGAATACACCTATGTTGTTGACAGAAAGCTATACTCAGTGAATAGCTCTATATTTGGTTCATAAAAATTAATTATGCATATTATATAGCTCGCTGCTCATCAATTTAATACCTTTCATCAGTCCTCTTTCCAGACTACTAAAATTGGACTCACCAAAAAACTTATCGATTGAGTAATTTATATAAAATTTAGTCCACACAGATCTATGGTCATCGGTGTCATGGCCTCCGAGCAATTTTATTGAAGCCCCAATAAACAACTGACTAAATAACTACTACCCAAAGTCAATATCTAGTCAGTTTAACCCTAATTTCTCTTAAAGAAAACTTATTCTGTAAATAGGTGTTGGATTCCTACTGCAAAAAGACCCAAAAATCAATTTTTTTAAAAGATATTAAATCAATCTACTAATAGCAAAGCTGAATTGAGTTAGAAACACGAAAAAGCCTACGACTTACCAATGAAATTGAACAAAAGACACGTAAAGCAACCTATATTTTACCAATCCAACAAATCCAGCAAATTAACCTAGAATTCAAACGTAGACACAAATCGAAGTTCTATTAGTTATTGATACTCACTAGAGACGTTTGAAAGAGGTGGAGGCGGATTTGAGAGGGTGTGGTGAGATGTTAATTTGGGGATGAAAATTTGGCGCTGGCCGCTGGGTGAAAATTTTGGGCGCCACTCGTGAAAAGTTTGGGGAGAACAAGCGGGTCAGAAAATATTAATTTCAAAATTATTTTTAAAAAACCCTAACCTAGCGCCCAAACGGTTGAGCCCGTTTGGGCTAAAATATCCCAAACTGTTTAAACCGTTTGGGAGCTCTGTTTGGAACTTTTCAATCATCCAAACGGTTTTAACCGTTTGGGATATATTAGCCCAAACGGTGTTAACCGTTTGGGCTATTTTGACTTGTCCAAACGCTGAGTTTTTTTTTATGTACATGACTTTCACATTTGGGAAATGAAATAATAATACCTTTTAAACCCCGCATGCGAGACTTATACGGTAAAATGATGAGAATGAATCATTTAAATGAAAAAATTGATCCTGGTTAATTACATTCTGCTTGAAAACAAGACCCCTGGCACGTAAGTTTCTTACAAAATTAAACTCATCACCACCCACTCTGAACTGACCAATCGCAGCCCACAGGGCTCAAAGGCCCGATCCATTTATTAACTCATGGCCCGCTTTCTTATTTCTTGGGGCCCAGCCCCCTAAAGCCAGCTGTCCCCAGTGCAGACTCCACACTGAAACTAATGCTATGGTGGACTTCCACCACTCCCCTCATCAACAAACAGCAATCAGGCCAAGTTGAATATAAGCTCTCAATATGTCCTCCTCTAAGTTGGAAACATATAAGCTGTAGCTAAGCTCCACACTCTCATCAATGGAGAAGGAGGAGAGCTTCTGCGGCC